ATTGTAAGTTGTGTATATTGAATATTGTCTTCATTGTGATAATTACGCTCTCCTTTACGTCCCGAAACAGCGTTACATCACACAAACCTCGCACCTGAGTGTTTTGTAATATCAATAACTGCACTAGTAATCAACTAAAATACTTAAACATTATGACAAAGCCTCGATTTTAATATTATTTTAATGCGATCAACATGAACTGTAACCATGACGGCGAGTGGAATACATACTTATAATTTCTGATTCCTTCCGTTGAAGCGCTGCGGTCGGAATTTGTTGAAATCAACTGAAATGCACCAAGCCTATAATATTAATTTACTTATCTGAAATAAAGACTATTGTCAGATTTTCAATTTAGATCTACTCGAGTTTATATCAATTTGGGAAGAAATCATGTAAAATATTAAAAAAATGATGTTTTAGACGATGAATCTCTAGGGCGTTAAACTCAATGATTGCACAAAAATACAGTAAAAGGGGTTTATTTGGCGTAAATCGAGAACAATACAAAACAGCTGTTTACACCAGGCGCACGCGGAACAAGTGAATGATCGGCGGCTGACAGGCTTCAGCGAGCATTGTGCGTCGACGGTGGCGCCCTCCCACCGATCGTCGCTGGTCACTTGCCGAACTACGGCCAATACTCGCGATCCCTATTATGCGAGCGACCAGGAGCACGAGTGTTGACTGGTGATGCTAACACGGCCAATCCTGACACTTCGGCGTCCCGACGATCATTGAGGTCCAACAACTCACTCTAAAAATCTATATTTTCATCCAGAGAACCACATTCTTTAACAAACACAACTTGGTTTAACAGAATCAACGACATCGTACTAACGCCGCGCCGCAGGTGACTTAAACAACACGTCACAAGACCGATTATTTACAAATCACAACATTTCAGCCCATAAATTGTCTCAAAACTCAACATAATAAAACAGTTTGATAATCATCTAAACACGACATTGACTCAGAGGCTGAGCCCATTAACATGACCTCGTCGTTTCTAATGCAAAACACGGGTTCAGCGGTTAAGGCGCACCAGCATGGAACAATCGAGACTAGATCAACTCAAAATATCAACTTTAAGTATAACTTAGTACAGTTTAAACACAGATTCAGAGGCTGAATCCTGTGGCATGGCTACGACGTTTCTAATGCAAAACACGAGCTCAGGGGCCAAGGCACTTCAGCATGATCAAAACATTAATATATCAAAACAATTCAACAAAGTTTAATGATACAACACTGAGCCCATTAACATGACCTCGTCGTTTCTAATGCAAAAACACGGGTTCAGCGGTTAAGGCGCACCAGCATGGAACAATCGAGATTAGATCAACTTTAAGTATAACTTAGTACAGTTTAAACACAGATTCAGAGGCTGAATCCTGTGGCATGGCTACGACGTTTCTAATGCAAAACACGAGCTCAGAGGCCAAGGCACTTCAGCATGATCAAAACATTAATATATCAAAACAATTCAACAAAGTTTAATGATACAACACTGAGACCATTAACATGACCTCGTCGTTTCTAATGCAAAACACGGGTTCAGCGGTTAAGGCGCACCAGCATGGAACAATCGAGATTAGATCAACTTTAAGTATAACTTAGTACAGTTTAAACACAGATTCAGAGGCTGAATCCTGTGGCATGGCTACGACGTTTCTAACGCAAAACACGAGCTCAGAGGCCAAGGCATTTCAGCATGATCAAAACATCAATATATCAAAACAATTCAACAAAGTTTAATGATACAACTTTACCTTCACTTTTAAGATTATCTAACTCATTCCAGGCCTCTTGGCATTTTGTAGCTTAGATATTATTTAAAGAAATGAAAGACAACTGCTCTGTCACTTTACTCTTTACTTGACATACTTTACTCTTTGCTCTTCAACTCTTTTTGCCTCTTTACCTTTTTACTTTTCGACGCGTACTTATTTTAGACAGTTTCCCTTAGGGTCACTATTGTAATTATTTCATCATAATTAAAGTTAAGTTATTAAAAACAGCAGTGTACATTAATTCCACACCCGAAAAGACCCTCAACAAGTTGACTCTACAGAACAGGACCACAACAAGTCCCGTACAACCCATCGTAAATCAACAGGCTGCTCACAAATAGGCTGTGACGTTCATTAAACATATTATGAAAATACTTTTAAAATTACCTATTTTCCAAGACGTAATCAAATACTAGCCCTCGACTATAATGAACAAAACATATCGTTGAAAGATCTATTCAAATTATAAACAATACACAAACTATTTTACCTGCAAGTAATGTGGAAAATGCAGATTCTGGTCACCTCTGCCCTAGAGATGGGCAAAAGTAACCGGTTTTTTTGAATAACCGGTATTTTCCTCTAAAATAACCGGTTATTTAAAGGTAGTTTTTTTACCAGTTAACCTAATAACCTTGCATTACGTTCAATAACCAATAGCCGGTTATTTTTAAAAAAAAAATCGTACTTGTTTAAAACAAGTAACAATTAAATATTAGCTGTTTGAATCGTAAATTTCGAAGAAGCGAACGGCACGGATCTTCCCGATATTTTGACGATAACGGGAGATCCCGCTCCCGCTCCCAAAACGAAAATATATGACATCAAACATCAAATGTCAAAATTAAATCAGGCATCAGGCGAACGCTGATAATAATCAAAACAACAGCCGAATGGCCCTGACAGGTCAGGCCGTAAAACAAAGTACTAATGCCATAGACTACTACTAGCCACCAGCTAGCCAAGTGATACGAACCTAACTTCAAATAGATTCTCTAAATTCTATATTTAAATTTTAACCGACTTTAACGGAATTTCAACGGTTCTTCAAAAGTTTTCCATGGTTTCGCCCAGTTTCACCGTAAATATATTTTATTTGTAGTTTGAAGTCTCTCTTGAAGCTTAGACTAAGAATACAAAATTGAAGTTCAAGTAACGAATGAAGATACTCTTTCATTATTTATTCATTCAGTCTCCTTATTTTTCTTTGGTATTTGATTAAAATAACTTGGTTGTAGATTGTAGAACTTGTGAGTTGTGTGGTTTATTTGAACGTTAAGTAATTACTAGTTTTAATATCATATCCATGTCTACTCAAAAAAAATGAGGTTAGCATTTTTATTTAAATTCATTTTGTACATATACATACTTACATTGCTACAATCTCTATTTAATCATGCGATTTAACTAAGTTTATTATCTAAATTTGAAGTAGACCTATGGAGTGTAGAGGTAAGTAAACCTATAGGAAAACTAAATATTTAGTTTTCCTAGGTTAGGTTATTTGAATAACCGGTTAATTTTGTCAAGTTTTTGTTTTTTAAAGATAATTCCGGTTAACCTATAACCGGTTTCTTACCAATAACCGCCCATCTCTACTCTCTACCCCAAATACGTTTAAATAAAATACACGACGGCCTCCCCATAAGAGCAATGAGAGGATTTACGTCCCAGTATTGAAGGAGGACAGAAAATCGAGTCGAATGGTTTCAAGACATAGGTTCATCCTTGTTTAGTCAAACCTCCTACAAACCAAGGATAGACCTATGTAGGAAATGCATTGAAATTCTATAGCCATGCTTCAATATCGGGACAGGAATTTAAGCGGTACCCTCCGTATACTTTATTTTAAACGTATTTGCTCTACCCGGACGCTCGGACTATCATTGTGACGTGCGCGCTAGTTTGGATCAGTCCATTTTGAAGGGGAATCGCCGTGCGCTAGTTGGACTAGTCCATTTTCAAGGGGAGTCGCCGTGCGCTACTTGGATCAGTCCATTTTGAAGAGGAGTCGCACGTGATCCATATTTTTATTGACAAAAACTTTCCTGTATTGCTATTTGTCATGCAATTAGAAAAACTTATTCAGAATTAAAATATAAATGGTGTGGCTGATATTTTAAACCACCATTCTGGTACTAATGTATTTACCAATAATAAACAGATTATTAAAACTTATTCAGACAATTTCAGACTATAAAAACTTAATTAAACTTAAACCGCTATGAAATAATGCAGAAAATACTTGTTTTAATAATAATCATTGTAATATTTCCCTCCTTAACTTTATACAGGCTTCAACTGCTTAATATAAATGCTGTAATGCTCAATCTAAATGCGGCAATGCTTCTTGACTTTTGAGACATGACGCCGTGACTCATTTTCTTTGAAAATTTACTTTATTATTATTATTACTGAACTATTAACTTTTCGTACTCTTTCAAAGCCATAAACAGGCAACCAATACTTTCGATTTGTAAACCTAATTAGAAACTGTGTACTTATCTTATTCAACTGCATCCTCCAAGTTTCACCATGCCACTCAAAAGCTTATTGTGGTGTAAGTTCTATCCCACTTCTGATTTTAGACGATGAATCTCTAGGGCGTTAAACTCAATGATTGCACAAAAATACAGTAAAAGGGGTTTATTTGGCGTAAATCGAGAACAAAATACAAAACAGCTGTTTACGCCAGGCGCACGCGGAACAAGTGAATGATCGGCGGCTGACAGGCTTCAGCGAGCATTGTGCGTCGACGGTGGCGCCCTCCCACCGATCGTCGCTGGTCACTTGCCGAACTACGGCCAATACTCGCGATCTCTATTATGCGAGCGACCAGGAGCGCGAGTGTTGACTGGTGATGCTAACATGATGTATATAGGCTCAGGAGATATCAGTTACTTTTATGACGTCAACCTAGACATGGTTTTTATAATAAACATTATTAATTAAACAATAATCAGTTGTTGTCGCCGTAACGTGATAAATAAATAAATAAATAAATAAATGTTTTTATCGTCAAAAAATTTTACAATTTGTAGACAAAGGTAAAGTAAACAAACAAACAAAAGAGAATACAAAACATTATACAAATAACATTGGCAGTCTGATTGTTTAAAATAAACATTTATAAATGTTTACAATGTCAAATAACAAAAAAATAAAAATAATGGTATTATTTTATTATATGTAAATAATAATATTTACTATTTATAGGGTTCTTGGCTTTTGGTCAATATTAAACTTTTTCTGGGTTTAGGAAGTGTTTATTATATAACTAACGTTTCGGTCCAGTTTTAACCTTTTTCAAAGCCTACAATACGATATTATCAAACTACAACTGTCTAAAAAAAATCAATAAAACTTACCACAAAACGTACATTTCCTTCGTCAAACTTGTATTAAAACATGGATGCATAAAATAACAGGTGATAACACATAACATTTAACTTAAAATTATACTCATACAATATCACCCACATGACACAATAATTAACATATACAGTTTAAAATTTTAATAAATTGTGATGGCCGGCTCAATGTATTTTCTGTGCTGAAGCGTTTCTATTTACAAGATTGGTGTGTATATTCTACTTAGCTTATCGACATCTTTTTTTTCGTTAATTGCATTTTTGTTTTTTTTTAAATTAATTTGAAAAAACGAGAATTCCTTGAAATGATTCAGATACAAAAAAACAAAAATGCAATTAACGAAAAAAAAGATGTCGATAAGCTAAGTAGAATATACACACCAATCTTGTAAATAGAAACGCTTCAGCACAGAAAATACATTGAGCCGGCCATCACAATTTATTAAAATTTTAAACTGTATATGTTAATTATTGTGTCATGTGGGTGATATTGTATGAGTATAATTTTAAGTTAAATGTTATGTGTTATCACCTGTTATTTTATGCATCCATGTTTTAATACAAGTTTGACGAAGGAAATGTACGTTTTGTTGTAAGTTTTATTGATTTTTTTTAGACAGTTGTAGTTTGATAATATCGTATTGTAGGCTTTGAAAAAGGTTAAAACTGGACTGTTATATAATAAACACTTCCTAAACCCAGAAAAAGTTTAATATTGACCAAAAGCCAAGAGCCCTATAAATAAAAAATATATTAGATTGGTCAAAGAAAAGTTAATTAAAAAAAATAATAATATTTATATGTATATTAAAACCAAGTCTATTATTAAATTATAATAGAATAATAATATAGGAAACAAAATATAGAAAAAAATGATTTAAGAAAAATTTGGGAAATTTCAAAATCTTTTTTATAATGCAGAAGAGTATTTACGATATTGGTCCAAACATTGTTAACTTCAAACTATTTTCGAGGCTATCGATGACTACTGACTCTTGAAACTTGACCACCATGAAACTAAATGTTTACAATGTCAAAGAACAAAAAAATAAAAATAAGATTCAAAAATATTTAGTAAGTTTATACCAAATATCAATGACTTCTAGATAAATTTACCTCGATGTCATTGGTGAATATAGTAATAGCAAACATTAGACCAGTGTTTACAAGATCAAATTCTAGTATCAAAATATAAGTCATTTACGGCGTAGAAAGCCTTGTTTAGTAAATAAGATTACAATGCTTTGTGAAATGAAAAAAATGATGTTAAGGATTTGATTTCAAATGGCAAGTGATTGTGCATTTTTTTCGAGTTGTATAATATTGAACTTTTAACTAACTCTGAGCGTTGGGTAGGTAGATAAAGATCTTGCTCCGCGTTCCTGAGTGGATAAGTGTGAAATGGCCTTCCTGGAAAACCTGATACATGCTTACGTATTAGGCAAACGGATTCATATATAAATAAGGAAGGAAGAGTTAATATTATTAATTTTTTAAAAAAGTCCTGGCAATGAGTTCTGCTGTTTAGTCCCAGTGAATATCGAACAGCTTTCTTCTGGAACTTGAAAATGCGGTCAAATTGAGTCGCACAACACGTACCCCAGAATGGAAGGTCATATCTGAGGTGCGACTCAAAAAGTGCATAATAAACAGTTCTAGCCACTGACAAGTTAAGCTCCTTAGAAACAGATCTTAATGCAAAACAGGCAGAGCTTAATTTTTTTGACAAAGCGTCGATATGTACCTATGTCCCATTTCAGAGAATTGTCTACAACAAGCCCTAAGAATTTTACAGATTTTACGATGTCAATGGTGGTGTTGTTATGTACAAAAGGCTGCAGCAAGTTTTTATACGACAAAGCTTTAGTTTTAGAAATGTTGAGACTCAGGAGGCTCGAATCGCACCAAGATTTAATGGTGATTAAGTCATTTGATATAATCCTATGAAGTGCCGTGACGTCCTTGTTACTCCAAGTGAAGCTAGTGTCATCCGCAAAAAAGACATGTTTTTTCCACTGATGTTTATGTTAGCAATGTCGTTAATAAAAAGAAGAAACAAAATAGGGCCTAGTACTAAGCCTTGTGGTACTCCACATCCTATTGGCTTGTTAGAAGACAACGTGGTATCCACAAGTTGACTTCTGTTGCTCAGATACGACTTAAATTCGAGAGAGACTTCGACTAATTCGAGAGATGTTCCCCTGTACCCATAGTGCTGCAGTTTATTAATTAGGATCTTATGATTTACACAGTTGAACGCCTTAGAAAAATCACAGAAAATTGTTGCTGTAGAATGATGGTTATTTAGGCTGGAGTAAACTTTATTAAGGAGCGAAAACATAGCGTCATTTGTGGACTTGTTGCTTAGAAATCCAAATTGATGTTCAGTAAGTATTTTGTACTTAAACAGAAAAGATACCAGCCTTCTTTTAACCAACCTTTCTATGATCTTAGATAGTGCTGCAGAAAGGAAGGAGTGCAATTGGGTAATAGAAGCTTGATCTTTGTCTCCTCCTTTATGTAGAGGAATGATTATCATTAGAGAAATATGAAAGTGGATCCTGAGAAGGACATATGGTATTAGTTAAATTTTTCACTACATTTACAAAGTAATCGTTAAGGTTTTCAGGTGAGGTAGAGATATTGCTAGACAAAGAAGCTTTGTTTCTCAAATCATTCACAATAGACCATGTTTCTTTACCAACATTACCAGAATTGGCGATTCTCTTATTATAATAAAGCTCCATAGCGGCTCTTATAGTTATATGATAAATTTTTCTGTATAATTTTACGTAATTGTGGAAGAAGATACTGTTTAAGAATTTTAAGGCGGAGTTCGTAAACTATTTAACTACGTAATTGTCGATGGCGCCGATCATCAAGACAAACATAAAAAGATGTATGCAGAAGAGAGCGGGTTAGTCAGAGATTGTGGTAGTCAACTGTCAAGAGTAAGTTGTCATCGATAGCCTCGAAAAAAGTTTGAAATTAGCGATGTTCGGAGCAATATCGTAAGTTCTCTTCTGCATTCTAAAAAAGATCTTGAAATTTCGCAAATTTTTCTTAAATCAATTTTTTCTATATTTTGTTTCCTATATTATTATTCTATTATAATTTAATAATAGACTTGGTTTTAATATACATATAAATAGTTGGAAAACCTCCAATGCCAGTTCGCGACACTATAGCCAAATATCTCTCTCTGTTTTTAGTTTAAATAGAGACTTTCATACAAATATCCTAAATATTTGTCGAGATACTGTTTTGTAAACTCAGTCTGCATATAGACAAAGAAATGTAAGGATTTACCTTTCCTCTATTCTTTTATTGATTCATCCGAAACGATAACGGCCATTAGTTGGTAAAATTGCCCGTTTAAAATTGCCGGAGCCAGTAAAGGGGAAACAACAAACTAGTTTTCGACGAACGATAAAACCTGAAATATTGCTCGTAGCGAATTAAATTTTGACGGCTCATCGATGCCGAAACGCATAGATTAAAGCGGTCTCTATATTTTCATTTCCGCAATCAGACGGAGTCTAATATTCCTTCTCTTGCTGCTACGTGTGCGAGGCTTTATCAAGCAGAAAATAAAACGCTAATGTGAATTTTGAACCTGGTCATATTGTCTGTATTTTCTAATTTATACAACTATGACATTTTGGATCATGCGTTACTAAGTGAACCATAAAACTAAACATTCTGAACTACATTTATAATAGAATATACAGGGTGAGTTTCCTACGATGTTCTCTATGGGTATCTTCGAAACTACTGGAGATAAAGAGCCGGTTAAATGGGAAAAGAATTGCAGTTTTGTGGGGTCATAAATTTTCAGCCTTTCAGATTTATGAAAAAGTTCATGGCTTACTAGATATTTTGAAAAAAAACAAATTTCGGCTATTTTGAAAATTGTCCCTAATTCTATTATAAGCTATTTTAGACAAAAAGTTTTCAGATAAAAGTTGTAGATAATCACATCCTTAATGAGATCGTGTCCTCTGTTTTTTTTCTAAAGCCTGTCATTTTTGACATATCACACAAACATATGTTTTTCTTAAATGGAAACCATAGTTGGCCATGACTTCATAAAAAGCGGCATTTTTAAGCTTTTTAGCGATATAAGCTATAATATGTTTTCTTCGAAAAATTACTGAGTTATAGCCAATTCTTATCATTTTTAAACAATTTCACTTAGTTAGCCATGGAAACAAGTTCAATCGCCGTTACTCTCAGAAATGTGATGCTGTCACATTCAAACTTTGTAAATTAAAATAAACAAAAATTGTAAATATGAATTTCTCAAATGAAGAAAAGCGTGTAGATACTCCCGCATCAATAGAGTGTTTTCAAAATGACTTTCATTATGCCCCCCCCCCCCGCATAATGAAAGAAATGTTATTGATATCATAATAATAAACTCATGGATAGGAAGAGGTGGACTAATTGCATTGGCCTCCTCGATCACCTGACCTATCCATTTTAGATTTTTTATGCGGTATGGTTAAAAATAAGGTTTACAAAAGAACTTATGAATTAAGGGAGGCACTCGAAGTGGCGGTACGAGAGAAGTTTAATTAAGTCAACCGGTCCTTTTGTGAGAATAGGTAATAATTCAGTTTTAAAAAGATGTAACTCTCAAAACAATAAACATTTTCTAAAATAACTTAAAGTGTATGCAGTGACTGCAGCGATATTACTTTTTTTTAGTTTTTAAGTTTTAGTTTGTGTAATCTAAATTCTAAAGAACCGTTTAGTAATATATTCTGACTTTTTATAAGTTATAAATCACAAAAGAATAAGAATGCCATGCAATCTAAGTAAAATTAGTCGAGAAAGATAAGAATTGGCTATAACTAAATTTAACTTTTCTAACAAGTCTTGAAAATCGTTCTCTAAAAAACATAACATTCACCGGTCAACGTATCCTCGAAAATGTATGGTCAAGAAAAGTTGAACCAATAATCTTACACGCTTTTCTTCATTTGAAAAATTCATATTTACAATTTTTGTTTACTTTAATTTACAAAGTTTGGATGTGGCAGCTTCACATTTATAAGAGCAAAGACGATTGTTTCTATGGCTAACTAAGTGAAATTATTTAAAAATGATAAGAATTTGCTATAACTCGATAATTTTTCGAAAAAAACATATTATAGCTTATATCGCTGAAAAGCTTAAAAATGGCACTTTTTATAAAGTCATTGCCAACTATGGTTTCCATTTAAAAAAACATATGTTTGTGTCAAATGTCAAAAATGACAGG